CTCATGTCCTGATTTCTTATTCTTCACATTAGGTACAGGCCGATATCCTGCACCTCCAGCACAAGAAGTGTCTTGAAAGAAGGAAGTCAATTAAGAGTTTCCCAAATCCCAAGAGTTTCACAAAGACAGGGAAAGGAAATGGCGTTCTTTCTTTTCTTTTCTTTTTTTTGAAGATTTTATTTCTTTATTTAGAGAGGGAGCGCAACTGAGCAGGGGCAGGGGCAGAGGGAGAGGGACAGAGAGAATCCCAAGCAGACTCCATGCTGAGCGTGGAGCCAGACGTGGGGCTCAACCTCATGACCCTGAGATCACGACCTGAGCCAAAATCAAGAGTTGGATGCTTAACCAACTGAGCCACCACTGCACCCCGGAAATGACTTAGTTGGATTTTTACAAGATGCTGGAATCTCCCTTCTTTTCACAAAATAAATTAAGTAGGGTGGTCCTTTTGGTTTGAATCTAAATCCAGACCCCGCAAGGCAAGTTTTCAAGGTACAAACGAACTCTCCCGGACCTGCTGAAACCACAGGGTCATGGGAAGGACAAACTCAACTTTCAAAAGTTCTGCCCACAAAAAGGATGAGCTAGACTTACAGGAAGACACAAAAGAGAAAGCTTTAAGGGACAGAAGCAAGTTGCAAAACAGGACCATCTAATTTTTTTCAAAATTATGTACAGGTGGGGGTAAGGGGAAAGCTCCAGGATTATGTTCAGCAGATGAGTAGCAGGGTTATCTCCAGGGGAGAGAACCGAGGAGGGGGACATTTTCTAGACTCTAGCCTCTAATGTTTAATTTTTTTTTTACATTGATGATGTAACATTGTAACACTTGGAACTTTTACAGAAAAGAAACATCCAGAGTGGATAAACCTATAAAGACAGAAAGCAGGGGTGCCTGGGTGTCTCAGCAGGTTAAGCATTTGCCTTCAGCTCAGGTCATGATCTCGGGTCCTGGGACCGAGCCCCACGTTGGGCTCCCTGCTCGGTGGGGAGCCTACTTCTCCCTCTCCTTCCACCACTCCTGCCTACTTGTACCCTCTGTCAAATAAATAAAATCTTAAAAAAAACAAAAACAGCAGATGGTGGGGGCAGGAATGGGGAGTGACCACTAGTGGGGACAGGGTTCTGTCTGGGGTGATGAAAATGTTCTGAACCACACAGAAGTGGTAGCTGCACAATATTGTGAATGTATTTAAAGTCACTAAACCGTGCACTTTAGGATTGGGGCATCTGGCCGGCTCAGACGGCAGAGCATGTTAATCGCAGGGGTTGTAAGGTTAAGCCCCACAGTGGGGATAGAGATTACTTAAAAATAAAAAAAAATTTAAAAATCTCAAAAAAAATTTTTTAATAAAATGGTTAAAATGGTAAATTCTTGAAGACTCTTAAAGATTCTAAAGTGGTGATCTAGGAAGTAAAAAAAAAATTTTTTTTTTTAAAGATTTTATTTATTTATTTGACACAGAGAGACACAGCGAGAGAGGGAACACAAGCAGGGGGAGTGGGAGAGGGAGAAGCAGGCTTCCCGCTGAGCAGGGAACCCGATGCGGGGCTCGATCCCAGGACCCTGGGATCATGACCCGAGCCGAAGGCAGATGCTTAACAACTGAGCCACCCAGGCGCCCCTAAAAAAAAATTTTTAAGGCAAAATGGTGTTATGTGCATTTTACCACAATTTAAAAAAATACATTACAAATGAGAGAAAAAATGGGTTTTGATAAAAGCCAAACCTAGCCATCTGGAGACTGTTTTGGGGATCATCTCCAATCGCAGGGGCTCTGGTTACCACGAGCTACCCCATAAGCAGCCTACCAAAGATCATAACTGGTTAGTCACCAAGGAGGACCCACCACTGGCCGGAAATAGGAATCACTCAATGGTAGTGATAGCACTAGGCACTGGCTAAGATCTCTGCTCTGGGCCTACGTTCCTGGCTGTGTTTTATTTCTCAGTGCAAACAAAACCCCAATATCTGAGGAAAGAGAGCCAAGGCACTGAGGTGCAGCCAGGAAGAAGCTGCTCATCCTCTGTGACAACACTCTCCCTCTGAAGGTCAGTCTCGGGTTCAAACTCTTTTCTGGGTCTCCAGGGACCATGAGGGGCTGATGGCCAGGCTGGAGAGCCAAGAACCCTCCTGTTCCAGAAGAGATGTTTGGCCACTTCCCCCATACAAACTCCTGGCCACACAGCCTTTAGAGACATGAGCAGACACTCCAGTTCTTCTGGGGCTCTAAGGAGACCTATCTACCCAATTTACAAGCTTGTTAAGCTACAAAAGACCTCCCCAGACAAGGCTCAAGAACATAAATATCTCCAAAAATAGGCAAATTAGAGGGCGCCTGGGTGGCTCAGATGGTTAAGCATCTGCCTTCGGCTCAGGTCATGATCCCAGAGTCCTGGGATCGAGTCCCGCATCGGGCTCCTTGCTCAGGAGGGAGTCTGCTTCTCCCTCTCCCTCTGCCTCTCCCCCTGCTTGTTCTCTGTTTCTCTCGCAAATGAATAAATAAAATCTAAAAAAAAAAAAAAAAAAAAGGCAAATTGGAGCTCTCATGGCCTTAGCTCCATCTTCTGGAAACCTCCACACTATGACAGCTAAGTGGAGGAAGAAGGGAATGCGCAGGCTGCCGCGAAAAAGAAGAGACAGAGAGGTCCAAGTAAAGCACTAGCTTGTGCACCCACAGAAGCCAGAGGAGCAGAAATAAAGCCAGAGGCTAGGGACGCAGTACAAACTATTGGACTGCATGCGTATTTTCTAGAACTTGATTCAATGGATCTAGAACATCCAACCGCCATCTGATCCCAACGACCACCGCTGAAAGACCCACCTTGCTCGTACCAAAAAATAGCCCCTTTTGGCCCTTTGCCCTGGACCTGTGACTTTTGGGACTAATTCTGTATTCTTTTGTGGCTGAGTATCAATAAATCATCTATTCTGGTGTCTTAGGAAAAAAAAAAAAGAAAGGTAAGTTCAATAAGTGAGCTTAAGTGGCTAGATTATATGAGTGTGAGTCTAATACACACTCAGGGAGGCAGTAGGGCGTGGTGGGGACTGGGGTGTTTAAGGTCAGCTGCTACTCACTTCCTGGGGCTTGCAGCCAGTCAGGAACACGGGCCAGGATAGCTAGGCTATTTTCTTTTGTGACTCTTCTGATATTTTAATGTTGGCAAGTAATTACAAAAATATGTTTAATACTGTGCAGGCCAAACATAATGCCTAGAGGCTGGATTTGGCCAGGGACTGCCAATTTATAACCTCTGTTCCAGGGCCAGATCCATTGCTTGTTCTATAAAGAAAGCCAAAGCAACACCCTTACTACCTTCTCCCTACATGTAGGATGGCCTCTGAGAAGGGAGAAAATGTCTCCATAAGAGCCAAACAAGGCAGTACAGTGTGGGCGTGAGGGTACAGGTGAGAGACAGGAGGGGCCAAGTCCTATCCCTAGAAAGAGATCTGACCAAAAAAGAAAAAAAGAAAGAAATCTGACCAACCAGGAACCAAGAACACTACACACAAACAGATCAGAGACACAAAAATATTTTAGAGGAAAAAAAGTTTGCACAGCACAGAACAACACTTCCTCCTAAGATGAATGTGTTTCTAACTCATTTACAACATTCTGGGGCCCCAGTACTATTAATGGCTTTATTATTGATGAAAATTCCTTGTTTTTACTTTAAAGGACCTCAGAAGAAAAAGGGAGCCTCATGAGAGAATTCTAAGGTTTGCTTTAGGAAACCTAACATACAGAACTCCATGCCACGAGATTAGGGACTCTTAACCTAGGGTCCAGGAACAGGCTCGGGAGTCCAAGACCTCTTGACACAGCATGCAAAATTTGGTGTGTATAAGCACATTTTCATAAAACCCTCAAGAGAGGTCAGCAACGTCGAAAAAAATCAAGGGTGAGTGAAAAGGACCCAGAGCAAGGAATGATTTGCTTTATAGGGATGGTCACCACAATCTGGCAATCTTCCCCAGTTATAAGATTTGCATTTCCCAGCACCTGGAGGGGCACACCTTCTATATAAAGTGAAATATCTCTGGACTAATGATTTTGTACGCCGGCTCCCTCTGTTTGTGGCCCCTCATCCCAGCTCCCCGCATCTACCTGCTCTGTCACTTCAGGCATATCCTTTACCCTCTCTGAACCTACTTTCACATCTGTTAAGTGCAGATAACTCAGGGACCTTGCGTAGTGCTGGTACTTGACTGATAGTGAATTTCCAACAAGTGTTATGATGATGATTACTAGAGGGGAAGGCCTCTCAGTGTATTTCCTGGGAAATACACACACTGCATGTTTGCACTCTGTCTATAACAGGCTTCTCCATCCAGAGAACTCCTACGCAGCCTCTAAAGCCCAAACCAAAGGCCCCTGCATAACTGTCCCAGAGCCCTGGCACCTGGTATGGCTGATGAGTATCCTTCACCCCGCTAACCGGTGAGCTGCCTGAGGGCAGTAACTATGCCTTCCTACTTTCTGTTCCCCCAGTGGCCACCCCAGATGGTGCTCAATGAACATTTGCTCAATAATTAGGCTCTACTTAGAGACTTCTGAACCCCAGGAGGCTATGTGGCCCACCTTAGCTGGCCACCTAGAGGACCACCCGGAGGCACAACCTGGTCCTATGATGCAGGTGCATGCTCCAGGGGAAGCCAGCCCAGAACGGCAAGTCTTCCTGACCAGGATGGAGGGGTCTGTCCCCAGACCTAACAACAGCACTATGGGCACACCCATAATGCCGACTGCCAGCAAAGCCTCGGATTTTCAACAGGTACAGAGAAAGAACTCCTTGTCAACCATACAGCTTCCCCTTTAGCTGTCAATGGTGGCCTCGGCTCAGAAGTCCTAGGCAGGCCTGCTTGGACCAGAAGTCCCTCTCTATGCACAGACACAACCCCGGGACAGTTTGCACTGAGCTGTCCTGAGCTGAGCTGCCCCTGGGAACCTGTCCGGCCCTTCTCAGCTGCCCAGGCCCAGATGCAACGCCCTGCCCACCTTCACGCCCTCCAGGAGTGCCTGGGGGTCCTCGATGCCCTCAGGGACACACTTCTTGTTCTCTGGGAGGGATTCCAGTTTCTCCACCAGCGCTTTCAGGCCCTTCAGCTCAAACTCGGTGAGGTGGGTCCACTTGGCGGAGACCCCCGTGGCAGGGGAGCCAGTGGGTGTCTTGGGGTAGTCTGCGGGCACCGTCGTGGACTTCACACTTTCCTCCGACTCGTTAGACAAAGTCCTTTGGAGGAACCGCAGGGCAGGTGCTTTGGGCTTCTTCCCGGGGGCCTCCTGGTCCTCTGAGGGGGTGCTGGTGGGCGATGGAGGGCCATCGGCGGGTGGCTTGGGCACCTTGTCTGCACCTTCCTCCTCTTCCTCCTCTTCCTCCTTCTCCTCTGGAGGCTGCTGGTCACAGGACTCCTCCTCCATCTCCAGCCAGGAATCAGATGAGAAGCCGTCTACGCTGGGTTTTCTAGGGGCATCTACAGGGAGCGGGAGGGTCACAAGAAAGACTAAGATGAATGCCCCAAACTCCCCGTGAGAAGTCTCTGGAACCTCCACTCACTACACCTCCCCTTTACTCTGGACATCCAGCTTCTTTTGACAATTCTAACGGCCTGTGCCGCCCTCCGCCTCCAGAAAGGTTGGGGTCAGTCAGACACAGGATCAAATCCCAGCTCTGTGTCTTCCCAGCTGTGTGCACCCAGACAGGTTGCTTCACCCCTCTGAATACACCTGGCACTTTATTTTTCAACATATAAAAATAAGGCCCCAAACGCATATGTTATATAACGATTCCATTCATATGAAATGTCAAGAACAGGGGGAAATCTATAGAGACAGAAAGTAGATTAGTGGGTGCCTAGGATGGATTGGGGGGGGAGATAAGGAGATAACACAAGGGTACAGGTTTCTTTCTGGGGTAAAGAGAATGACCCCAAATTGACTGGTGATGGTTGCACAGCTCCGGGAATATGCGAAAAACCACTGAGTTGTACACATTAAATTGTATGATATGGGGACGATATCCCATTAATGTGTTTTTAAAAATATAAGGCAAAAAAATCCTTCCTCTGAACACTTGCGGTGAGGATCCCCTAAGGCATCACTAAGCACGGGTCCTGGCACACAACCAGCATTTGATACAGGAGGCATCTCTGATGTCTCCTCTTTACTTTGGTGGGAGGAGCACTGAGGCAGGGGAGAAACAGAAGCAAGAAATTTCAGTGACCCAAACGCTGCCTCAAGCTTTCTTCTTGTGCCTGCAAACGGAATCGGGAACGTTCTTCTACAGCCCTAAATACCCAAATGAGAGAAGTGACTCTCCGTTTCCTGGTCCTGAAGACTGCCGCAAAATCAAGCCTCTGGTCCCCACAGGAACGTGTAAGCTACTACAACCACAGGGGTCGCCCCATTATTTCAGACTGATTTCCCATTTCCTACCAGGCTCGGAGCTTCCGGAGAGCAGGTTGTGGGATTTCAGGACTTCTCAACACCCGAATATTGCATCATCTGACATGTAGGAGACTCACAAGAGACTCCCCAGGCAAAACTGAATTTCTAGGAGGTAAATAAGCACTTCCCGATAAAGACCTCTGCAGAAACATTTGTTCTCCATCATATGCCCAGTCTGAAACCCCTAAAAGTCACTAAGGATGAGAGTCAAGGGAAGGAGGGAAGGAGGCTTTTTACAGTGAGAAAAAAAATAAAGAATCTAAAAATCCTGGGGATTGCTGGAGAAACCGTGCAGACCCTAAAGGAGACAGGCCAATCATGTTTTTCTATCCCGTGATGAGAAAGAAGCAGTGAATGAGTCTCAGCACACTCTGCCTCCAGGAAACTCCTCAGCAGCAAGAGCTCAGAGGCAGGGGGGAAGAGCCGTGTTCTTCCAGATTGCTCCTCAGGGCTCACTGTCACAGCTAGAGGCAACCTCAGGCAGGCGTCTAGGAGTCAAGATTCAAGGATTGAGCCATTTGGGGGGTGATGTCCCTTTAAGTAAAGGCAGGAATGAGCCATTTGGGGGTGATGTCCCTTTAAGTAAAGGCAGGAAGGCAGGACTCCGCAGCTGCAGCTCTAAGCGCTCTCTCCTGCATCTGTCAGAACCACCCACTGCTCTGCCAAGCTTGTGTCTCCAGCCCTGGTCACCCCTCCCGCTGGCTCAAAGCTGGCCTCAGAATTTGGAGACCGGCTGCACCTCGTGGGCCTGCTCATATATAGACAAAAACCCAGCCCCTAGGTGCAGGGGAGGGCTGAGGATGGGGGATCAGCTGGCGGCCCCGGAGGACTAAAACCACCAGGATCCTTCGCTCCGTAGGGATCCTGTTTCAGCAACCATGCCTGGGACTGGTTCCTCAGCGAGACCTGGAGGCCACCAAGGTGACTCTGTTGGGGTCACAATTTCATTTTCTTGGACTCTGTATTCCAGATGCGAGGTTGACAAGGATGGCTTCCCCTCCTAAGGGGTCTCTAGGAGTCTGCCCGACACTTTGGTTCAAGAGAACTCCAGAAACCCAGGGACTCTCTAGGGCCACACTGAAAACATTCTTCCTGCCCAGCTGAGCAGTGGAGGTGGCCGGGCCCACATTTCACTCACCAATAAGCATGGATTCTCTCTGGTATTCCTGAGTGAGGTAGGACCGCTGGGTCACACAGTACACGTATCTTTCCAAGACATACCAGCACATCTCATAGTAGAAGGGGTAGCGAAATTTGGGCTGCACCTGAAAGCAAAGACCCAGGGGTGGAAGTCAGTTTCTGGAGCGCCAAGGAGAACCAAGGGAGAAAACTGGGGGGAGGGAGTTTCTGCGGGTGGGAGTTATTTTCACCATCTTAACAAGAGCACAAATGGTGTGAGGGAAAAATGGGGGAGGCGGGCTGGAAGGCAGGAGAGAGGCGCTGGAAGGGGCAAGATACCAGTAGCATGCACATATGAGGAGGAAGAAGGGAGAAAGAGGCCTATGTGAGAGCATCATTTCAAAGCTCCCTGAGCGGCAGGCTGCCAGGGGAAGGCCGATGGGGTCCGCTTTGTGCTTCTGTTAGATGCAGAGAAACAGAGTTGTCCCCTGACCTGCTGACGGAGGGTGCGGGTACCTGCGGATGTGAGCCTGATTCCAGCTACAACAAACACAGGCTCCTCCTCGTTCTCAAAAAATTCTTGCACACACTCTGCTATCCCTCCCTAACCCCTTGAAAGACAGAAAACAACCCCCAAACCTTACCCACTCGCAGACGGGCTATCAAGCATCTCCTGCACTCTGGGAGGGAGACAACACCGGGTGGACCAATGAGGAGGGAGGGGGTGTGGCCTCTCCTACCTCCAGGGGCGGGGCCTCAGAGAGTCCCACCTCCTGCACCTCCTGCTCCTCCCCCGACAACCACCTGGCACTGCCCAGCCTGCATTCCCAGAGGATTCCCTTGGACACAAGTCCCCAGGGTGACCTGGGGCGGCTCTGACACCAGGAGACACACGCCCAGGTCCAGAGCAGGAATCCAGATGGGGCTCCCCTTTGGGCCGTTTCTTATAGGGGAGGAAGTGTAGGTGCAGATAGCTTTGTCTATCAGAACTGTGAAAAGGCCTGGGCTCCAGGAGGATTCTCATGGGTGGAAGCGCGGGGTCTATATGGACGAGATGGCAGAGAAAGATGGCAAGGAAGCAGTTCCACTGACGGCCCTGCACAGATGAACCTTCCGGAAACTTCATCCTGAGCAGGTAAGTGAGGAATGAGGGCGGTGAGTGGGTGGTCCCTGTCTCCCCCAGGGACTGAGCCCTCTTTTCCAAGGCTATGCGTAGATCTTGCAGGTCCACACTCACCCCGGACCTGCTCTCTTGCCCTCTCGCCAAGGGGGTGTCTGCTTCCAGGGACCTCTGCGGGTGCCAGAGACCCCTCTTCACCTCTCCTATCTTCCAGAAACCCAGGGAGTTGAATGTTAAGCAAGGACACTCTCCCACCTTTCTCTGCGACACTCTACAGGCAACATTCTACGGGTGCGATGAAGGCAAAGACAAGCAGACCTCGGTCCTCCATTTGCCCTAAAATACCACTTTCCTGCCTCTCTCACAGTGCCCACCTGGAAAAGGCCCCCCACTCTGCCCTCTCTGAGTCCCAGTTCAGTCCCTTGGCCACCCCAAGCCCCGCTGACTCAGTGTTCAACCGTGAGGCCCTTTTCCCACATGGGGGGTCTCACTTCTCCCATCTGCTTATTGGGTCCACTTGACCTCCCCACCTCTGGTGGATGTTATGTGTTGGAATGAGATCCTGGCCGCCGCATGCTTTTGAGCTCCTCCAGGGGGATGCATGGAGTTGGGAACATCTAGCGGTTTCCTTGGCTCCAGCTACTCTCCTGAGAACCCTGGTTTTAATGCTGGGATAGTAGTAATACTTTTTCACTGTCACTGGATCAGTGCCCTTCGGAGTTTAAAAAGGAGTCTGTCTCACTTCAGACTGAGACAGACCCTGACCTCCTGTGATGAGGGGTCCGGGAGCCTCAGCCCTACCCCCGCTCCAGAGCAAGGACCAAGCGACTTTGAAACCAATTGCTGATGCCTACAGAGCAGGCTGAGGACAGGCAGGCCCGCCTCTTCTTGGACCCTCACTCACATCTCCTGACTTCAGATTCAACTGGTTAAGACTCTGAAGTTGCTTTTGACCTTTCAAATTTTGGGAAACCGTGCAAGCCGCTCTGCACTGAAGGGCACCATGGCGCCTCAGAATCTTTCTAGATCAGGAAAAAAATATATATTTTGGCTGTATGTCAGGAGAGGAAGAGAAGTCTCCCCTCATTGTTGCTGAACCCAAGGGAAACCAGCTGGGTGAAAACAAATGCTGATGAAGGAATTCAAATTTTTTCATTTTATTTTTATTTTTTTTTTCCAAGAGAGCACGGCAGGAAACAAAATTTGCAAAGAATTGACTTACAAACGGGTTGTCGCCTTCCACCCTTCGCCTTCAAAAGGTTTCAGCCACATGCCTGGGAACATTAAACACACGATTGCTCAACATTATTTGTTGACAAATTCGGAGCCTCACCAAATTGAGTTGTTCACCGAAAGGCAAGGCAGTCAGAAAGCATGCAGCGCTCCCAGCCTGGGGGGTAATCAGTCTATCAGGGGATCTCAAGGGGTAGCTTTGAGTTCCCAAAGGCCCATGAGAGTAGCACTTGGCCTTAGCCCTTCCTCTTACAGCTGAGTGACCTCAGGAGATCAGAACCAAAGGTGTTTTGGTGCATCTAGAACTCCCAGGTCTCAAGGAACTTGAAAAACTAAAATATGAGGGTGGGTGGAAGTGTCTTAAAATTTGTTTTTCTCCTGGAAAAAAAAAAAAGTCAATGGGAAAAAAAAAAATCCAATGGTAGAGGAAAAGAGGAGAGGAAGGGAAAATTATTTGCAATTTCCAAATAGATTCACTGGCTGAGAGGGAATGGAGCGTGCGGCGTTACCTTTCCTGAGAAAGCTGCCTTCACTAGAGCCATTAAGGAGGAAAAAAAAAAAAAGATAAACATAAGAGAGACGGCAGTTTAATGAATGATCAACTGGACCATCTTGTCCCTTATCAAGCTAACTGGAGTTAAAAATATGTAGTGATGGCTGTTGAGACGTTATCTTCACATAATAAACATGCAACACATCCAGTCCTTGGTATAGTTCCTCCCCACCTTGCATCTTTACAATGAGAGGATTTACTCTGCACAGGGAGGGGGGACACGTGTGGGTTTCTATACATTGGAAACCACCAGGCCCCGGCAGGGCAGGGCCTCAGCGGCAGCAGGGTAAAGACCCCTATCACCCAACCCCCCCAATATCAAAGCAAGACGCGGCTTACTAAACATAGGAGACCATTGGGGTTTCCCTGGTCTGGATGGGACGGGGGTTCCCCACCTTGGGCCACAAAGGCAAATTCTTTTTCTAAGACAAATCCACACCACGGGGCTTAAAGACTGACAGTTTCCTGTCCCACCCCCTGCTTCTGGTTTCCAAGGAAAGCCCTGTTTTAGGGACTCTTGAAAACTATTTTTAAATGGCCATAACCTTCTTAAGAAAGCTCGCAGGGATGTAAGGAATTAAGCCGTAGCGAGCTGACAAGGAGCCCTGGTATTTTATCTGGCTTCTAGTGCTCTCTCCCCAGCATCTTTTGTCTGCCTTGGCTCCTAAGACATAAACAATTGGGCCTTGTAGCCAAGCCCTCTCCAAAGACCAGAAATCAAAGCAGATTAAACAGCCTGCCGCTGCTTCCGGCCCAGCCCGCCCGCCAGCCCCCCGCGCATCAACCTGTTTCAGGGAAACCAGATGGGACACCCATTCAGACGACAGGGACAGTGGGCCTTGGGGGAGGGGACCCCGCCGCGCTCATCTCAACGTGGGCCTGATAGTCTCCGGGCGCTCACTGTGACGCCGAGGGTTCTACACTGTTACCCTCCCACCCGCCTCCCGCAGGGGAGGGGAGCTGGACTCCTGACGGAAGGATGGGGCCCAAATGCACTGGTCCGTACAATCCGGATTCCCTGGGGGAGGGGGACAGCTGCCAAGCAAGTTGCCAAAGCCTTTAGAAATCCCAGCCTGATTCTGGCTTTCAAGAATTGGCTGGAAAGTCATAGGCCTCACTTCTAGATTTCTCCTTTTTTATCCCACACCTCCCTCGTCTGCTCGCACGCAAACTGGCCCATTCTTCAGGGCTGGCCAAGGAACAATTGGCCGGAGCCCTGGACAGCACTTGACCCAGGCTATGAGATGACCACTCACACGCACATGGTGCCTTTCTCCAGAATGCCACGGGGTGGCCTTCCCCAGACCAGGGCTGGGGCCGGCCTCCCCCAGACCAGGAAAGGGGTGGTGGTCGGGCAACAGAGAAAAGAGGCGCGAAAACCCACAAAATAAGACCCAGGCTCTGCAGATCCAGGCATCCCAGCAGCAAACCCGTCAATCTGAAGATACACAGTTGCTCTTGGAAACACACCTGACTGCTGAATATAGCTCAAAGTTGTTCCCAGGAAACCCCGGACACAATCCCTCAACGTCGGGACTATTCGAGAAGTCCGATACACACACAGTAGCTAAGATTTTTGGTTCGTGTATGTGATTCTGCGCAGCTCAGGGCCTAGAAACAAGACCAAGAAAGACGGGGACCCTGGGCCCAGGGCATCTGCCTCGATGGGATGCTTCTGTAGAGTCCCGGCATGACAATACCTCTCTGGGGCAAAAAAGTCACCTCTGAGGCAAAACCCAAGAAGATGTGGTGTGGTCCATCCATACAATGGAATATGACTCAGCCATAAAAAGGAAGGAAGCAATGACACCTGCTACACCGTGGATGAACCCTGAAGACATCATGAGACGTGACAGAAATTGTTCACAAAAGGACACGATATAAGATTCCATTTCTATGAAATGTCCGGTAACAGGCAAATCCGTAGAGTCAGAAAGCAGATTGTTGGTTGCCACAGGCTTAGAGGGTGGGGAGTGGGTTTATGGAAGGTGACTGCTAATGAGTAGGGGATTTCTTTCTGGGGTGATGAAAACGTCCTTGAATTAGAGCTGGTGGCTGCCCAACACTGTGAATACCCTACATGCCACTGAGTCATGCCCCGTAACTGGTCAGTCACTCGTATGGTATGCGGATTATAGCTCAATAGAAAAAAGAGATAAACATTTGAACAACTGTAAGAAAAAAGAAGAAGGAAGGGGCCCTCTTGGCCCCAGTTTCCTACCCTCAGACCCCTCTCTCAATTGCCTTGGGACACTTGGCCAAGCCCCACAATGGGAAAGAGGGTGCAGACGCAAGCAGCCAGCGTTCCCCTGAGGAAGCTCGTGCACTGGAGTGATGCCGAGGGCACACAGGGCACACATCAGGTGTCCAAGCCTCGGCCCCGGTCCTGGGGGGTGGGGGTGGGGGAGACCCTACGTCTGAGAAACTGTTACTGTCACAGTCAAGAGGAAAAGTCCCCCCCCATCCCACCCACACCTGCAAGCAGACACTGACACACAGCTCAGAGACAATACTGAGGGCCTCCCAGATGCTGGCTTTCTCAAGGCACTATATCACATTCGGGGTCCCTGGGTGGAGGAGACACATGGCCAAGAGCTGACCTTTCCAAGGCCCCCCTCCGAACCACAGCAATAACCACCACAAAATCCCCCCCAACTCCCGTGCATCCCTCTCTACACATGAAAAGAAGAAAGAGGGAGGGTTCCTGACATCTTGCAGTGCTTTCTCAGTAGATACTTCCTCTTTGATGAGGGGGTTTTGGCTGCCACTGGCCTGGAGATGAACAGAAACTCCAGGGACTCTGGGTGGGGCTCTTGCAGACAGCCCCCCACAGGGACCAAGGCCCGGCTTGAGGCAGGGGACAGGAGGGAGGGGGGACCACGGAGGACTTTGGGATGACTCGTCCCACACACCCCGAGCACCAGGCAGAGCTCAGGGGCCGGGCAATCCCACGAGGAGAGAAGGAAGCCACCTTACCCGTGTTCTGTCCTCGATCTCGTAGATACGCAGCTGCATGGGCACGTTAAAGCTGTGCAGGATGTTTCCGCCAAATACCAGAGAGTCTACAGGGGTGTAGACTGCATGGATCCAACCTGGGGTGGGGAGGGCACAGAGAGGGTCAGCCACTGGCTCCTGGACCACTGGGGAGGGTCACCGACAGAAGCACGCAGAAGGACACAGGAGGCCCAGGGGAGGACTCAGAGCCAGAATTGAGGATGCCCGGGCTGCCCGACGCAAAAGGCAAGGTTCCGGGCTGGCTGACAGGACTCAGACACACAGCCCCGATGGACTACTGCAGGCACTGACCCCTGGCTGGCTCGAGATGCCGGTGGGCTGTCCCCCTCCCATGCTGGCCAGGGAGCTGGACACCTCTCATTCAGGCTGCCCATCCATCCCTGAGCCTCTTCCCCGGCGTCCCAGAGAACACCCGTCTCAGGAGGCGTCACAAAGGATTGCTTGGGGCCACAGCTCACGAGTGATGCCTGCCCAAACTGCAGGACCCAGGCACGTTCCTGCCTGAGGCACAGAACAGCGAAGTCACCGATAAGGACTGGAACCCAGCGCATCAGCCTCACTTGGTCCATGAAGGCTTGACAAATCAAGCTACCCAATTCCTTCGCCAAGTAACTAACACATGTTTCCAGGGCTCAACAAACCCACATGCACTCCCGCCTACAGTAACAGTGCTGAGCTAGGGGACAGGCAGTATTATAATCCACTCCCATTTACGGATGCTGAAACCAAGGCAAGAGAAGGTAAGTCACTTGCTGAATGAAGTCACAGCGTCTCCGTTCTGAACCCCTACGCTGCACAGCCGCTCTATCACAGGCTCAGCACACCGGGCCTGCAGGTCCCAGGAACCGGCCGGGGAGGCGAAAAGAGACACGCAGAGAGAAACAAGAGAGACAGGGGTAGGACAAAGACAGACAGAGGCAGAGGGACTCACAGTGGAAGACAGGATCGGTGGAGGAGAAAGGGGACAGAGAGGGCAAACCAAACCTCGAGACCCCGAGACGCCAAGCCCACGTGTGCACGTCTCCTGTGACCCCTCTTCTCCGACCTGTGTGCATACTGTGTTTGCTTGGAGAAGGACTACAGAGCCCCCAGCCCAACCCAAAACATGCCAGCCCTGGGTCACGGGCAGCACAGCCGGCCGCAGCTGCAAAGGTGCAAGGCCACTGCCGCCCTCTGTGGGACACTCGGGGCGCTGGTCCTGCCCTGCGGGATGAGCTGGCGGTCCTGGGGCAGAACGGTCCTGGGGGAGGGCGGGGAAAAGCACCAGCCCAGAGCACACGAACGAAGGCTCTATGTTAGCTGGTTCTGCTGTTAGCTCCCCACACTGGCTCTGCTGGGCAGGTGTGCTCTAGAAGCTTCTAGAACCCCTTGAAATGCCTGGGGATATAGATTCCCTGCCACTCCACTTGAAACAGAACCTCTCTTCCATTTCCCTCTTTGCTCACCCAGTAGGGTAATAGGTGTAAATCAGGTGTGTCTGTGTTTCCACCTGATAGGACAGAAGGGAGAGGCCTTAAATACAGATTTACGTGGGCACCACTCTTTGCAAAGCCTTACCTGGGTCGCGTTACCTGGGTGCCTCCGTGCAGGACAAGCATGGCTGCCGCCTTGGCTTCCCCATCTGCTTCGGCCTCTCCATCTCAGCTGTGTGCCGGCTGATTTTCTCGGCTGCACGTTTTTATATTTTTGCCGAGCAGAGCTAAGCTGTCTATTCCTGTTCTTATTACCTCCATCAACGTGACTTAAGCGACATTTCCTAAACTGGGACCCAGGACGGCCAGGGGCCAGCAGATGCACACGGTGGGGTGAAGCCTGAATGGGGCAAAGATTCCTGGGTCCTGTTCCTGTGCTCCTCACATGCCCAGCCAGGGCCCTTACAGAAAGCCCTAGCCCCTCGGACCTGGGTTGGAAACTGTCCCATGGCCGACTCACCATGTGATATGGGGCACTTGACCACCCCCTCTCCTGGCCTCCATCTGCCCGTGTGAAATGAGGATCACTGTCTTCCTTGTGGGGAACCTGGTGAGCAAGAACTCAGTCCATGTAAGCAACTGCCACTGATATTCGTGGTTGTCTCGTCCATCTTGAAGGCTTTGCAAAGAGTGGTGCCCACGTAAATCTGTATTTAAGGCCTCTCCCTTCTGTCCTATCAGGTGGAAACACAGACACACCTGATTTACACCTATTACCCTACTGGGTGAGCAAAGAGGGAAATGGAAGAGAGGTTCTGTTTCAAGTGGAGTGGCAGGGAATCTATATCCCCAGGCGTTTCAAGGGGTTCTAGAAGCTTCTACCCACTCTCCTCTAGTCCCCAAGCCAGGGCCTCACAGGTGGGTCAGGGAGCCTCAAATGGATTAGTCACTGCCAAGTTCCTCCCCCTACCCTTCCTCAGATCTGCTGCATGACTTAAACACTCCCTCAGGAAGAACCAGGGAGGGGAAACAACAGTGCTCATAGGCTCCATCCATCCCCACCCTCCTGATGGCGTCTCCTTGGCTGCACCCCAGGAAGCACGACAAGAGCAGGTGTCCCAGGCTGGTGACTGGGCTGGGGAGCATGGCATCTGCCTCTTGCTTGCGGGCCAGAGTCACCAACAACCTGAAGGCAGTAACAGGGGCAATTCAGGCCAAGCGACAAGGGACAGATGCAATCATGGAGGGAAAGCAGGCAACCCACAAAACCTACTGACAGGTGTTCTCTGGGACCTGAGGGACAGTGGAGCCCAGGGAGTTTCTCTTGCCCTCAACCCAGACACTCAGGTTTCAGAAACAAAAGTCCCCCTCCCCCCCACCCTGCCATCCACATTTGTCTCTTTGTGGCTGCTGTAGGGGTAAACCCAAAAGTCTATGGGTAAACCCCACAGAACTCGGGGGCACCTCACAAAGGGCCACAACCTGCTTCCTTCATGAACGCCCTGAGCTGGGTCAGGCCCTGGGCTGGGCAGGCCAGCTGCCAAGGTGTAGCCTCTCCTCTCTAGGACCTCCTAGCTGCTACCAGGGACCCAAACTGGCAGGCCACAGGCTGCGGCAGACTCACGATGGGGAAATTTCACAAGACAATCTGAATTGCTTCCTCCTCTAGAAAAACAGGAAGATGGGCCCACCAGGCCATTCTCCTCCAGCTTTAACTGGCTGGAGATGCGTAGCAACTGTCTGGTTTCCTGGAGCCCACCCACCCTCTGCCTCCCATCCAGCCTGCTTCACTGCCACCCTCTCCCTGGTCTGTACCCATTTCACAGATGGGTCATCTGAGGCCCAAGCCACATTACACTATCAAGTAGCTTCAGGTTACTTTTTCTCAGACTGGCCCCAGTCTGAGAAACACCTAGGGGGCTACCTGTGAATTTGGGGTCGTGAGTGATTTTTTTTTTTAAGATTTATTTATTTATTTTAGAGGCAGAGAGAGAACAAGGGGAGCAGGGGGAGCAGAGTGAGAAGGAAAGGAAGAGAATCCCCACTGAGCCCAGAGCCCCACGTGGGACTCAATATGGGGCTCAATCCCATGACCCAAATATCATGACCTGAGCCAAAATCAAGAGTTGGATGCTGAGCCACCCAGGTGCCCTTGGGTCATGGGTGAGTCTTACTACAAAGCAAGGATGGGAAATGCTTTCAGGCCAGTCCAAGCCACTGACCCCAGGGTCTTTCCTAGGTTCCTATACTGGGCTCCCCATCCTGGCTGCTACCTGGCTGGACATGCATTCAGGACAGAGAGAATCTATCTTATAGCCTCCCTATGACCTTCCACACTGCCAAATGGGCCCTTAAGGAAGTTTGTTAAATGAGCAAATAATTCTCCCAAAGTCATATGGCTGAGAAGAAAGACCGGATCATCAGTCTGCTGACTCCCAGGCTAATGGGGAACCAGGTCAACTCTGAAACTAGACACACCTGGGCTCTTGCCCTGCTCTGTTGCTTATTAACTGTGTGACCTTGGACTAGTTTGTTCACCTCTCTGGGCCTCGGGGACCTTCTTTATTTAAGTTTTTTTTTTTTTAATTTTTTAAAGTAATCTCTACACCCACTGTGGGGCTCGAACTCACGACCCCGAGATCAAGAGTCACGTGCTCTACCAACTGAGCCAGCCAGACACCCCCATGAACCTTCTTTATTTAAAGAAAAGGCAGGGGAGAAATAAGTTTCTCCCCACATGCTTATGAAGAAGGTAAGTAATGTATGTAAAATGTTTGTTGCTCAGTAATGCGAGTTATTATTACCATTAACCATAGTTCCCCTCAGCTGGTGCAGCCAGAGGGGGAGGCTGAGCCCATCCGCATGGTCAGGGCATTGGCCACAGGCATCACATGAAGGAAAAAGATGCCACTGGGTCCACCTGACTTCCGATTCCTTGGGGATGATTTCCACCTCCAGCTTTCCACCCACCTAACAATCAGGCTGAATCTGGGTAACCTGCTAGGCACTCCTGAACCTGACTGTGGGCCCTGGTGAGGCCACTGTATTCCCACTGCCTCGGCCACCTTCACGTCTTCCTCTTCCAGGCAGCTTTCCCAGACCACCCAAGAATGAGGCCTGAGAACCACCACCCCTATAGCACAGCCCCTTCACCCCAGACACAAGAAGAAAGAGTTAAACCACATCTCGCAAAGACACGGGAACATTTAAAACCCTCCCAACCCAGCAGCCTCCCGGGTAGCCTTCAGAGTTGAAGACCTGCCGAATGACCCCCAGAGAGACGTGAGACCAGCATGAGACAGGAGGATACCTGTCTAAGATCGCACTGTGGGGACAAAAATCCATGTCAGAAGTGAGAAATGCCAGAATTAGATGCTCTACTCCTGATACGGAAAAACCCACATGCAGAGAGGCCTTGTTCCCCAAGGCTGGCTCTCCATTCTCCACCCAAAGCCACACTCCAACTCCCCCGACCCTCAGCTGTGTGTCTGCCCACAGCTTAGCGGTGTGGACGACAGAAAGAATCCCCAGGTGCCCAGCCACTTCTGTAACTGCAAAATTCTGGTCCTTCAGTTTTCACCGGTTGGCAACAAAATGAGAAAAATGAAGATGGCACAGACTGTCATAAACTCAAAACTATCAAATTTAAAGAACTGTCCCTTATTCCGAAATTACAGATTTCCAACTTTTTTTAGTGTCAGGATCATCTTCCATTTGTGAAAATCAGCAATAGTAGATGCCAGGTTGTTGTTTTGTTGTTGTTGCTTTTTTTTTTTTTTAATTAACGCCCATCTTTAGCAAAACTACAAATTTGTAACGACAAGCTCCGAACTTTTTTTTTTTTTTTAAATTTCATTGGTCCCTGCAGAAATCAAGGCTTGGGAACCACATGTACCCCCTGCCTCTGAGAAGGTGACAAATTCTAACTGTCCTTTTTTCACTTCTGAACATCCTGGTGTCTTACTCACAACCCTCAGGGCCAGGAGTCTTTGCTGGGGTCTAACTGCTAGTTGCAGTTCAAATCCTCTTGCCTTCAACAGACAGTCACACCCCTGCTGGGGCTCAGATGCTGCTTCTCAAGACTTTTTCCAACTTGCTAAGTCACCAAAATGACTGAGGGGAAGCAATGAGCAACCTCCCAGCTCCGCAAAAGGCCCTGAGAAAAGAAGGTCTGTCCTCCCAGGGAGGTTAGGAGGCCAGCACTCAGTGCGACCAGGTTGGGAGGGACCTGGAGGGCTCCACAGTCCAGCCCCACCCCACTCCCATTGGAGATAGCATAGTTGAGGCACAGAGAAGGGAAGAGACCAGCCCAAGGTCACAACGAGTCGGCAGCAAGGCCAAGAGCATTGTAGAGTTCCCTTGCATCGACCATGGCCAATCCTTCAACACCTAAAGAGTGGCTTGAACACACCTGAGAGGTCTCCGTGCCACATCTGCCAAGGTATGTACCATAAACTCTGTCCACTGACTGCAACCCATTCCTGTCCCAAGCAGGGGTTCCTCCCCTCCCCAAGTCTGAGGATGGACCTGGGGCCATGGTAACAAAGTCACCCCCACTAAACCCTGCCATTTCCAAATCCCCCAATTTCCCTAATCGTGAAAATCTCTACCTTCTGCCCAACTTTCTAGAAGAGCCCACGTGTGCAGGCCCCATCCCCTCAGTGGGAGATGCTACCATAACAGCCCCCTATTCATTTGACACTAGTGCTTCATGTCCAGACCCAAGGCCAGCTTCCGACACAACTCTCAGAAACCTAAGTGTGACCAACTTCTCCATCCAATGGATCTTAGTTTCTTCAAAGGATACTCCTAAGGTTCAAAGGATACTCCTTAGTTTCTTCAAAGGATACTGCCCACTCAGTGGCAAATTCCCTGCAGGCTCCTTAGCACAGCCATATACACAGCCTCTACTTATATACACCCAGTGACAGGGAGCTCACTACCTAGCAGAGCAAGTCATTCCAACACCACTTGGCTGTACCTCTTCTTCCAGGAGACAATCTTTCAACTAAGCTGACCGCTGATCCCATACACCTTTACTTCCCGAGGTAAAACCACCCAATTCCTCCTCCAAATTCATTTCACCTGATGTGACATCCAGACTCCTATCTCCAGGACGACTTACTTACTCTCCAAAGTATAGTGACCAAAAGGAGCACAACTTCCTATATGTGACCTGACCCCCTTACTTTATACAGTGGGACTGTCACCTCCCTCATCCTGGGTAAAATGTTACCGTTAATGCAGCCAAAGACTGCACTCCCTGACCCCTATGGCATCTGTCAAACCCACTGGTGCCTCAGCCTGTAACTGCCCAAAAGCCCTCCGTCCACCACCAAAGAGCTGTAGGCATGTAGGTCTCAGCTCACTCAGTCCTCACTACCACCCTGGGAAGTCTCACTCCCATTTTACAGACACGAACACCGAGGCACAGAGAGCTTAACTCACCCCTGTGAAGGCATAAGCACCAGAGCTGAAATTCAGACTAAGGCCATGCTGTCTGACTCCAGGGCTGGCGCTCTTAATTGCTGCCCTCTACTATACTTGCAGCCTTAATTTCTTTTTCTCTTTTCTTCTTAATTTTTTTTTTTTTTTTTTTTTTGGGCAGGGGCCGGGGGGAGTCCAAGTGCAAGAGCTGACATTGACCTTGACTATATTTCACTTTGTTCTGCAGGAAGGAGGCAGCCACATCGGGTCCTTCCCCAGAGCTACCGTCCCCTCTTGCCCATTCCCTAGGCTTTCAGGCACCCTTGTAAGACCCCCCACCCTGGGGTCCGCCCTTGCCCAGAACCTGCGTGGGACCGCCATTACCATACGCTGCTTCCTTGGGTAAAACAATCCAATTCCTCCTTCAAGGAGGCGAACCCAGCCGCCTCCCCATAGTACCACTGTCATCCCCTCACACAGAAATCGCCACAGGACGTCCTGAGGGAAGCCATTCGCGCTTCCCCTGAGGGAGGGTGCTAGGCTTTTTCCCCAAGAGTGAATTCTAGCCCACAGGCAGGGAGACACAGGTTAGATGTGAGAGGGACAGGGGACTGCTTCTTCCTGCAGCCCGAGGCCTGCCTCTCTCAGGGACTGCCAATGGCCACGCGGCCCACAGAACCCCGTCACTGGGCCCAAAACCCTGGCTGAGGCGAGAGTCTTCTCCCAGGGCTGGGAGAGCTGGGGCCAAGGGAGAGCCCGGCGCCAGCCTTGCCGGAACCTACCGGAAGGGATGAAAAACGTGTAGCCCTGTTTCAGCTCAATTCTTTGGCATCGCTCCACGCGGTCTCCCAGGAAGATGTCACTCTGTTTGCCTGACAGCACCCACTCCTCGTACAGTGCCAAGTTGTGCAGGGTTGGAGGAATCAGCCAAAAGATCTTAGGAGGAAAAGGAGGCAATAAGCTGAAGATCCGGGCCAAAGTCCTGGATTCCTTCCAGGCTGTGCCACAACCCAAGGAGACAGCCCCACCTGCCCGGGAGCAGGGAGGACAGGGGACCACCTCCAGGCCCCAGGCCCAAAGGGTCTCTGGGGTGGCGGGGAGGCTCTGCCACCCTTCTGAGACACCCCTTGCCTGCCTTTAGGGAATCTCCGTTCCCGCTGAAACACCAGGGTGGATAGAGTTCCTGGACTGGGTGGAACATTCTTTCTCCTGGGCCACAAGCTTGCTGGGGAGGTAAGGGAAGGAGAGGAAGGGAATTTCCTAAGTTGTATGATAAAACGGTCCAATAAATAAACCCAGCCTGCGCTCACTCTGGAGAGGGAGGAAAAACATCTGGAACCAAGCAGGATGACTTCCTACCCAGAATTTCTTCCAACATGTTTGGTTAAAACAAACGCACACACAAACCCAGACGAGCAGGGCGACGCGCATCCGCTCAAGGAGCACCCACATCCGTGCGCGGCGCACGCAGAAGCAAACGCGGCAGCAGCATCCTGAACGCACGCACCACCTCCTCTCTCTGGGTGACGTCTGTCGCTCAGATAAAATGTTCTTGGAGGCAGGTGGTGCCGGCAACTAGACTTTTACGTTAAACGGTCTCAGTGCTGGGGCTGGAAACCACAGCGGGCAAAGTGAATGCCGGGAGTTCTTGGGAACCAAGGCTGGAGTTCTGATCTGGCCTGAGGTGCAGAGAACACTGGACTGGGTGAGCAGGTGCGAACAGGTAACCAGATGTGATGCAGAAGAGCTGACCTGGATCCTTCCCTCCAGGAGAAGACAGAGAGTGGGGAAGTGGCCCTGAAAGTGCTCACAGGGCAGGAGCTGGCTGGGCGCGGGACAAGTGAGGACAGGCCGGAGGGCGAGCGAGCCCCTCCATGAAGAAACAGCCAGGACTCGGCTCAACTCACCTTCCCACCCCGGAAAACATGGTACCAAACGGAAGTGCCTCCAAAGTCGATGTGGAAGTCAGTGAAACAGCCTTTCACGCTCATCAGACAATACCTGCGGCACAGAAGCAGGGGAGAAGGAAAAATCGTTCAGTGCCTGAATCACAGGAGGTGCGCCAACAGCTTTCGAGGTGCCTGACCTGCTGCCCTTTTAGAAATGCTAACACTGGGGAATTTTCTTTTCTTTTCTTTTCTTTTAAAACCCAATTCTAATTGGAGTTCCCCCTGGGGAAAGCCCCTGTGATCAGATGACAAATCTCAAGCATTGGCCACCTGCCCCCAAGGCTGGGGGAGGCATCTGGGTTTTCAGGTCCCCAGGAGAGAGCTGGCAACCCACAGGCCACTTCGTTCCTTCCTCACAGGATTCTGCTCTTGCCCCACCCCCACTGCCACCCCAGGGAGGCAGGCTTCCTTTCTGCTCCCTCCCAGCGCCTGTCCCTGCAGCTCTCCCAAGATGCCAGTCCCCTCTGCAGCAGCGGGGCCCCTGGAATTCCACTGTAAGCCACCTCCAGAGCTTGCCAATTACCACTCCCCATTCATCTCTTCATTCGCTTAACAAGCGTTTACAGAGAGCCAAACGACGGTCCAGCCCAGAGCTAGGCAGGGCACTTAGAGAAATGTGTCAGAAAGCATCAGCCCCCTGTCCTTCAGGATGGGACGTTCTTAACGGAGCAGTGCACAGGAAAAGTGAAATAGCAAGACAAATTGCAACTGATTGAGAAGTGAGCGATGAAGCTCCAAGTACAGGGGTACCAGCCACAAAAGATCACCGTGTAGGATTCCACGGATATGGAATGGCCCAAGTAGGCAAACCTACAGAGACAGAGATGGATGAGGGGTGGCCTGAGGGTGGGGGTGGGGGGCAGGGATGGGGAGTGACTGCTAATGGGGACAGTTTCATTTTGGGGTGATAAAAATGTTCTGAATTTGACTGTGAATGCACAACTCTGTAAACAAACAGAACCACTGAATTGTACACTTTAAATGAATGAATGGTATGTGAATTCCATCTCCATATAACTGCTAAAAAAAAAGTAAAGGGATTAAGAGGGGATGCTGGGGGTGGGGTGGTAGACAGGCAGAGGGGAGAACCTGGGCCTCAAAGGCTTGGGGGAAGGAGGTGCATTCAGGGGAAGGAAGCCACCAGCAGCCCCCCTTCTGAGCTCTCACAGCAGTCAGATAACCCACCCTTCCTTACAGGAACTCACCAGTCTCCTCCCTCCTCCCTTGACATGCTGCTGTCCTAAGGGTGGGCAGAGCTTAAGGGGGGGGGTGCCCGATAGAGCAGGCTTCCAAGTCCAGGCCTGGCAGACAGCGATGCCAGGGCCCCCTCTTTCCCTCCCACCCCTTCCCACAAGAGCTACCAGCAGCACGGATGGGGCAGCCTCCCCACGGCTCATGCTCATGCACCTTGGCACCTCCAGAGGCCCACGCACACATGCTTACCCCACTGACCTCTTTTCCCCGCTGCACTTTGCTTTTCCATGGTTTGGGGAAGAGGGGAGGAATGGGGTAGGGACAGACAGGGAGGAGCCAGCAGCAAGCCCCAGTGGAGATAATGGGGGGCGTGGGGCTGAGCTGGTTAGGAGGCTGGTGGGCTCCAGGTGCCCCCTCCCTCTAGCTGCCTTTTGCACCTCACATTCAGGTGGACCCGGGGCTCGGCAGTATGCAGGCAGCGTGCCCCGCGTCCCTCCTCCGGATAGGCTGGAAGGAGCCTTAACCATGTGTCTGCAGGAGGCTGACAAATCAGAAGGCCTTCCCCCACATCAGAGCCCCGCTGCCTAGCAACCCCATCGGAGGGGTGTAGTTGACAGCACAGGACGCAGCCCTGTCACGAAGACAGGCGCGGGCTGTGGGGCTGACGCTGGGGTTGTTAAAGTCCCAGCTCGGGCTCGGGCTCTGCACCCTCCCGCCTCCGCCCCACATGCCCAGCCAGGTCCCTACTCTGAAGACCCCAGTGACCCTCTTCTCTACAAGGAACAGGGGCGAGGAGTGGGGCTGAAGCCCTGACCCACCCCACCCCCACGGACCACACCGGCCTCCTGTGGAAGCACCACTTCAAAATATTAGTCCTCATTTTCCTAAATCCACCTCTTCGTCTGGATTTTTTTTTCTTTTCTTTTTTTAATCTAACCTTGGTTTCCACCCCCTTCAGGCCTCAGCAGAAAACAGCCTAGGGAAAACAATTTAAGTGTTTGTGGGGTGGAGCGAGTGTGCTTCCTTCAGTCTGCAGCTGGGTAACCACCCAGGTGCCCACAGCAAAGAGGAGAGGAGCTTGGCTCTTGGGCACCAGGCCCCAGGCTGGCCTGGCCACACTGGTCACCACCCCCCAACCTCCTGCCCCCAGCCCCAACCTCCCCAGGACTCGTGGACGTAATCCTAGGAGCTGCGGCAGCTATGTACAGGGAAAGTTCTCCAAGTTGTGCTTGCGTCTGATCTGCCCTCCCAGTCACCCTCCAGCATCCTCTGAGGCCCTTCGGAGCTTGGGGGCGCCACTTCCAGCCCCGCCTCTCCTAGAGAGGCCCCTCCTCCCCTGTCCCTCATTTCCTGGCCGCCAGGCCCGGCCGCCCCTCCCGCGGGGCAATTGCATGCGTCGGGGCGGCCAGGGTGGCTGTGACAGGGCGGCTTTGTCCGGGCCCCTGCAGCCGCCACCCCCGCCCTCCCGCCCGCCCCGCGCTCATTCCGGGTCTCCCCCCTCACTCCTGCTCCCGCTCGCTCTGGCGTGACGCCTTTGCACTGACCTCTACAGCTTCCTCTTCCAAAGCACACCGCAGTCACATGGGCACCCCGGCTCGGTGCCACGGCCGCTAAGCTCTCCCCGCCGGCCAGCCAGCCTGGCTTCCGCCTTGGCTGCCCCTTGCCCGGAAAGCCGCACCCCTCGACACCCCCCACCCACCGCCCGGTGACTTCCGTGCAGGAGTGCACCCTCCAAGTTGGGGGATGAGAATCAGGAGCCCCCGAACTAAGCCTTTGGGGGGTTCCCGCCTCCCAAGGCCCGGGCTGGCTGGGGAGGAGCGTGGTAGGAGGGGGCGCTGCACCTGCAGCACCAACTTTGGGGCGCTGCCTGGGATCTGGGGAAGCGGGGCGACCCCACCCCGCCCTTTTCCCTCCAACTTAGGGAAACTCCCCCGGCAGCTCAGGCAGCATCCCCTGGGGCAAAGGTCTTGGCGGGGGGTAACCTGGGGAGAGCTGGCACCGGGTGACGGGGCTGAAGGCGCCGAGCGCGCGCGCACACACACTATACACACTTACACGCAGCCCCGGGAGACACAAAGAGCTGCTCCGCGACGCCGGCCGCGCAGCCCGAGGGCGGGAGGCGACCCACACCCCGCCCGGGCGCGCCCCGTAGGAGCGGGGGCTCCCGGGCAGCCCCGGGCCCTCGGGGCGCAGCGCAGGAACGCCCGCCCGGCCCCGCCCGGCGAGCCCGCGGTTACCCTCCGCGGCGGCGGCGGCGGCGGCGCGGCTCCCGGGCGTCCCCTTCGGCAGCGCAGGATCGACGCGCGCCCAGCCCCGGCGACCGGAGCCGAGCCCCCTCCACGGCGCTGCCAGACCCCGGCCGAGGACCCTGCAGCCCTCTCTCTCTTCCTTCCTTCCTCGGGGAGCCAGGCGCAGCCTGCGCTCATCCCCGCGCTGAAACTGAACACCCGCGCGGCGCGGCGGCCGCCAGGAAGGAGGAGGGAGGCCGCGGCGGCGACAGGGAAGCTTGCCGGCCAGCGCCAGGGGACGCCGCCGCCGCCCACGGCCGCCCCTTCGCCCCGGCTGGGTGGGGGCACGAGGGTAGCTCCACAGGCGGACGCTCAGGAACACCCGCGCCCCCGTTTTCGGGGAGTGTGGGCGCCGTCCTGCTACTGGAGGTGACGGCCCAGCAAAGCCACCTTCCGTTAATGTGTCCATCGGGGCACGGCTAGGGTTTGGAGAGAGTGTCAGATCCCAGGTATGGCAGCTCGGAGACAAGGGATGCTGCTCTGGCCCTAATACAGACTATCTGTGTGACCTTGGGCAACTTACTTCCCCTCCCTGAACGGGTGTTCTCATCCTTATGGCAGGGAGGTGACCTGAAGTTCAACTATGCATTCTCAGATGCTCCTTCGCTGCCCCTTCCCCTACCTGCCCCCTTACTAGCTGTGCGACCCTACATCACAGAATTACTGTGGGAGTTCACTGAGATACATACATGTTAACACAGTACCTGGAACTATGAGACTGTGTTTAATCCAATTTTCACAACCCCGAGGTCACTCCCAGGATTGTCCCCGTTTTACAGATGAGAAAGCAGAGGTTCGGAGGTCGTGACTCACCCAGTTCACTACTTTAGTCAGTGATGGTGCTTACCCAAGCAGCCTGGCTCAGAGTTTCTCAGCCCTTCTCCCAGGTCTACCGGGCAAATCCCAAGACTCTCAGAGAAGCAATGTCTGCAGGTTGCAGCCAAACTCAACCTCTGACTTCCGGCTGCAGGAGATGGTCCAGCTCAAATCAGAAGTCCCACCCTCCAGGGCATGCTCACCAGGGCCACAGCCCTCCTCCCATTCTGTCCCCACACCCTTCCCCTAAACCGCAAGGGGGCAGGAGACAGTGGTATAGCCTCTGTAGGGGCAGAAATCAGGCTTCTCCATTCTTTGCCAAACCCCATCCACTGGGGCTATCCACCAATATTAACTAATAGGCTCTAATTATCAAGTGCTAATAATAATAGCTGTTTCTATGCATGATATCATTTCACCTTTAAAACAACACTATAGGGCGCCTGGGTGGCTCAGTTGGTTAAGGGACTGCCTTCGGCTCAGGTCATGATCCTGGAGTCCCGGGATCGAGTCCCGCATCGGGCTCCCTGCTCGGCAGGGAGTCTGCTTCTCCCTCTGACCCTCCCCCCTCTCATGTGCTCTCTCTCTCTCTCTCTTTCTTTCTCTCAAATAAATAAATAAATAAATCTTTAAAAAAAAAAAAAACACTATAATCCCCATTTTAGGGAAGTGAACATTGAAGCCATTTCAAGGTGGTCAGTGCCCTGGGTCAGAGTGCTGCTTCCCTGTGTCATTTACAGGACGGCCCCATTAG